ACACACACACACACACACACACACACACACACACACACACACACACAAGGATGAATGAAAGCAGGTACATACACATTGGTGGTGGTGGTGGTGGTGGTGGTAGTGGGGAGGGAAAAGGCACCTAATTTCTGCAGCCTGGTAGGGAGCACGGCAGGTGCTACTTTAGCGTCAGTTTGTATGTACTTGCTTCCCTTCGCTCTTTTTATTTCTTTTTGTGCCCCCATCCAAGAAGTTGGTTCGTGAACTCGAAAAAAAAAAAAACACCAGAGGACCTTTAATCGCCCCCTACGTGACCCTAAGGGAATAGGCACAATAACGTGTGCCTCGTGCATTGAGTGGCCGGCTTTAAACCATGAAGTCATTGCGATAATCCCATGTTCTGACACTCGATGTCAATGTACGCTTGTACCACGCATTGTTACTGCAGCATTTCATGTTGTATTGTGAAGCACGTATACAGGGCGTGTGTTTGTGAAGCACGAAAGTTAGTCTCGCTCCAATGCCAAGCAGAGGAAGTTACTTTCACTGTATTCGGAAGCATACGCGTGGCTGTGTTGTAGAACATACGCTTTTCACGCAGACGACCCAAGACCAAACCCCACTTTGATTAACCTCCGTATTCTAGAATATCTCTTCACTCAACACTCCAACTCCACTTGAGAAAGCCGATGGAAGCACCGTCTCTAGGCAGGGAAAGTCACTGTATATCAGCCATAACCTGCTGCGATTCTTAAGTAGCGGAGTGTCATTTTCGGCCGAGCGGCGGCGCAGTGCTCAACTTTGTCAAGTGAAGGGTGAAATTCGAGTCAAGGAGCGTTTGCGACTACGTGGGATTGTTTTATTATTTATTTTATTGGCATCATTCTCAGTTTTCGGTCACTAATAAGATAATGATTTATCGCTCACAATCAACAACGCCGACACCAGAATTTCTACAAAACGCGCTTTTTAACGCTGTCGCGTTAAAATTAATATTATATTAGATTTTTATTTGGCGCGAGGGTATCTGAGGCCTAAGAGCGCCAGTACAAATGTCATATGGTATCAGTTGTGTAGCTTGAAATCATTGTTTAAAATATGTGCAGTGTTATGTCGCGTTAAAATTGACCATCGTAGTGCCGTCATTAAAGTGCTAGGTTCCAGTCGTACCCAGAACACTGACGTTACGTCGTGACATATTCACTGTGCACAGAGGGTTCAATTCATTTTAGGAGCTATGTATCCTACTGTTCTTTGGCCACAAGCGGGCACAGGCAGCGCGCACAGACGTAGCCAACACCACTGAAAGAGATAAGAGAACGAACAAGCGTTTAATTATAGTGAAGACCACTTATAGACAAGAGTTAACAAAATCAAGCAAGAGGAAAACAAAAAAGAGGGTGACGAAAAAAGAAAAGAACGCTACAAATACAAATATAGGCAACGCGGTATGATAACGATACAACTCGACACGATGGATAAAATAAATTAAAACAAAGAAAGTTATTGAAGGTATGCCTCTCGCTTCGGAGCTTCTAGTGCAACGCAACACCCACTAATACAATGACATTTAAAGTGATAACAGAAAAAAATCCCAATAAAAAGTTTCACACTGACCATGGCGGCTGTGAGTGGTTGTAGGGGAGCTGACATAGAATAACTGCATATACATTAATCCTAAGTTGACGGAGTGCCACTGATTGTTTCGCCAGCTTAGAGTAGACGATGAGGGTTGCAGCTGACTTGATTCGTTGCGCGTGGCACTTCGAGCTCAACGTCCACGTTTGACTGGCGACACCGATGACCGCGCTCTTCGCTGGTTGAACGTAAAGTGCCGAAGCAGCCACATCGCCACACTCTTCCTGCGGCTTACGCATCTCCGCCGCATTGCCGCTGCACTTCACCAAGCCGTGCCGATTGCTTCAGTTGTTGTAAAGTTTGCATTTTTCTGTCCCTTTTCCGGCTTGGCTTTTGTGCGGAGGAGAAATGGGAGATAAAGACGATAGGTAGAAGGAAGTTTGTCAGTAGCACGTCGTCATCATCGTGAGAGAGCCGGCGTTGGGGATTAGGAACCCTCGCGTACGTGGTACGACCCACTCGAGGCCGGCTTTGTCCGTTTACTCCTGGAAAGCTCGCAGGGCAGGGATCTTGGACCGTGGCGGGAACAGGAAGTCGTTCACGGTGTTCGTTGGCTGTCCGAGGTATGCGCGTCGGAAAGAATTTGTAGTGAGTAGTGCTCACCCGTGTCACATCGTGGCCCTGAGAAGGTGGGGGGGGGGGGATGAATGGGGTGCCCTTTCTACGGCGGAGTGGTTGCAGCCGCTTGTGACAAGGCATGGCAGTAGATCCCCCGTGAGAACAATAACGGAAGCGTTCATTTGGACAGTTTCGGCCAGAGTCTGACCTTCATCAGAAATAAGGGTATATCTTGATTGCTCTCACGACTGTATATTTTTCGCACGAAGAAGTGAGAGGAGAAAGACAAAAAGAGAGAGAAAGAAAAACGGGGTAGAAAATTGCCAAAAGGTCTCTGCGCAATGCAAGGGGCGTTCGGGGCGGATTCGGCTGGCGGTACCGAGTGACCGGGCTGGCATGGGGCGGTAAAACACGGCTAACGACCTCCTTGCTCACCAATAAGTCAGAGTGTCGCCCCTTTCTTTTTGCATGGACTGGATGATCATGGTGGGGCAATCGGTTGGCGTCCTCCGTCTATCCTTCCCTCCCTTCGCGTATTGTTCCTCAATAGACAGCCGTGAAGTTGTGTTCCCCCCCCCCATATATATATATATATATATATATATATATATATATATATATATATATATATATATATATATATATATATATATATATATATATATATATATATATATATATATATATATATATATATATATATATATATATATATATATATATATATATATATATATACATATAGCCACGCAATCAGCTTAGTTGCGCAATACTTTCCTTCTCACTGCAGATCACATCGGCGCAGCATTTTTTTTACCTTTGCCACAATCTTCTTGTTTCATTTATTGCCGCAATATGTTTACCGATTAATATATTGCACGAAAAAAACACGTAATGTGAAAATATGTATCGTGAATTAATCAGTATTTCCTTATAGTAAGTGTTAAAAATGTTGCCTTTAGAAATATTTTATCATGGCCAAAAGCTATGGTAAGGCAATTGAAACTGATAAAGCACCATCGTACAGAAAGATCGGCGACTTCGAGTCAAAGCACTGGCTAGACGAAATAGCTTTGCGCACAATGTCTCGCCTTTAAATTTCGAAGCGCCGCAAATTTGTAGTTTGTTCCGGAAAATGTCGTTCGAATATCTACTTCAAAAGTTGTGATAATTTGCTCCAGCTGTATCAGTACGAGAGAGGTGGAATGACGCATAATTATAACTCCTGGAGTAACGCCGTTCCAAAAAACCACTGCAAGAACACGAAAGGCGCCATAGTGGAGGGCTCCGGAAATTTCAGCCACCTGGAGTTGTTTAACGTGCCTCGTGCCTCTCTCTAAGTACGACCACCGTGGCCGGGAGTAGACGCCACGACCTTGGGGAAAGCAGGCAAGAACTATAACCGATTGTGCTCGACGATGTGTTAATTTATTGCCATTAATCACCTACTGCATCAATTTTCTCTGGTTCTGACGTTTTCCGCCCTTTTATGGGTGCTCCATCTATTTTCTTGTTCCTGGAATTCCGGCCTACTCTGTCCACTTCTACTCACCTCACATGATTCACCGGCAAAACTAATAGGCGCCTAGCCGTGCTCCTGTACCAAGGGGTAGCAAGTAGAACCACATGTCATGAGGCCTTTGTTATAGCGCGTTTTTTTGGCATGGTTAGCGCCTATTACGTTAGTCGATGAGTCGTGACATACACGTGTACAAACGACAGCGGGAAACATCCCGTAAAGCGAGTATGTACAGGGCGATAGTTATAGCGCGAGCACAGAAGGACGACAAAGAGACAAGGACACGAGCGCTCATGTCCTTCGTGTCTTCTCGTCTCTTCGTCGTCGTTATTTGACCACGCTATAACTATCGTCACGTCATTGCAACTAGCCCAAGCTGCCACACTTCTAATGTACAGAGCCTTCTAAATTAGCGGAGAAGGTATAGCACGTCTACGAGAGCAACGTGGAGGACGACTTGGAAGAGGAGACAGCTACTGAAAGGCTCGTTGGTCACGCATAACGAGGGTGTTCCAACCAACTACTAACACGAGGACAGAAGAGGAGACGACACACCACTGGACTATCAACTGAAGGTTTATAAAAAAAAAACCTTTCTGGTCATATTTATAGCAGTTCATAGCGAATGCAATGCTCGCTAATTCCCAAATTGATTATGTCTGCACATAAATCTTTTTCTTTCTTTTTCTGTTAGTAGAATAGAAGCTGTGCTCACGCATGACAGTCCCATTTTGTTGGTGGCCACGACATCTGAAACTTCGCGCGTTATCTTCAAAACTTACACCTCCACCCGCCGGTAATTCCGAACACCTATACGGGACAAAACTAAGGCTATCTGTAGACACTAAATCATGAAAATGACACACTCACATCAGATATTGAGGCTGACGTGACGCAACTGTAGAAGGATACCAACACGTACCTTTCAAGAAGTCGAACTCTTTATCGTACATTCTTAGATAGAATGTAAGATAGAGGGTAAGATAGAATGGAAGACAGACAGAAAGAGAGACAAATAAGTGGTGATACAGAGACAGACAAAGTAAGAGAGTATATATCATAGCCATAGCATAAAGGTGTGGTGGCCGGACTTGCTGACATCGCGACTGCAAGCCGGTTTTCGGCCGAAAGCGGGACAAAACCACGTCCCACAAGCAGGTTGGCGGTAACCCAGCCGCAATGCCAGGACACGTCCTGGCTAAATCGCGACGTCTGGTCACTTTGCCCAGATGTGATTACGGCGGCGCCCAGGGACTCTTCTGCGGAAAAACAAATTGCAATACCCACCTGCCCGATTCTTACAGCAATGACGGAGAACGAGCAGGCCATCTCCACAAGGCTACCGTTACTACCGTCCGCGGCGTTGCCCAGCCCCTTCCAGCCACGGAACCCGGAGCCTGTGGTACACCCGGCGCAGTTGCCGTGCGCGGCGCTGGACAACGTCCACCTGACCCTGGAGAACAAGGAACTCTGGACCAGGTTCTATCTCCTCGGGAACGAGATGATCATCACCAGGCCCGGCAGGTGAGCACGATTGATTTCATTTAATGAACATTTTCCCCGACAGGTAGAGTGCCAAAAGCAAACATGGTGGCGAGGACGGCAAACATTAGCAATAATACATAGAACACAGAAAAAAAATACAACAAAACAAAACCGAAGGCACACAAGGTAGAACACGCGTAAACAGTAAACAAGCGTGCGTGAAGTCCGGTCGGCATTACGAAGCATATTAAAATAAAGGCTTTTGTGGCCTCGTGCATGTAAAGAATAGGTAAACAAAGGTCCCCGTGCGCCCCCCCCCCCCCTTTTTTTTTCGTTTTCTTCCGCAAGTGGTCTTTCACCAAGGCGGCGGAGTTGAAACCTCCGAAGTGCATCGTCCAGTTTCGAAGGCCGTGTAAATAGAGACAAGACGTGCAGGGAGTACAGAAAGTGATCGACAATCCCCTTGACAGCCACGAAAGTGATCTGATTATGCAAACCTTTCGCCACGGTGTCGCGTGTTCCAACCACGCGACACAGTCACAATCACGCGCGGACGAACGGGGGATGCAGTCAGTTTAGCGCGCACCAAGAACGCAATGAAGGACCCGGGCGTTTCGACGACACCAACTACGAAAAAAAAAAGAACAACTAAAGACCGGGAAGGTAGACGCACGGTGGCACCCCGCCGAAAACTCCAGCACTTGACTTGAGGAGACACCATCCGTTCGGTCGCCGCCTTCGCGACAGTTCTTATCTTCATCCCCATTTACGGCTCCCCCAGGTCTACTGACCTTTTGTGCAGAGCTGAATGTCCCTTCCATCAATTCCGCCCCCCCCCCCCGCTTTCTTTTTGACGATGAAAGATAGAAGGGCGACATGGGCAGCGGCGGCGGCGGCAAAGGGCACGGCAAAGAGAGACAGGACATGCCATGCAGTAGCTGCCGGCACGTGCACCCGCAGAAGCAGGTCTACTCTGCGGGCTCTGCTACCATCGACGTCAGCAGGAGGGGTGGAAGGAACTCTCGCCCTCTTCAACCCCCCCCCCCCCCAAATGAGCCCAACACTTGTCTCTTCCACTGCCATGTCCCTCCCCGCGATGCAACATGGCATTGCACCCTCTCCCCCTCTCCTTCTGCCAAAACAAACCTTTGCCGGCGCCCATGTCGGGTACAAATGGATCCCGTAGAATGGAAGGGAAACAATGGCGTCGGCGTGCGGAAAACGACCGCAACGAAAGCTTTCACGTCGCTCCGCTCTGCCGCGAGGCGGCGTTATTCATTCCGTTCCGGCCACACTAAGCTAAAAGTCAGCTTGTTTTGGGCTTTCTTGTTTGCTTGTTTGGCTTTCTTGTTCTTCCGACGTCTGCCGCGCACGCCGCTCTAAGCTCCATCTAGTCGTCGCCTCGTGTACAAATGAGGCTGTCGATTTCGCAGTCGTTTTCGCAGGTGGAAATCCGTTGTTGTTGGCTTCCATTTGCGATGACAGGTTTCATATATCTTGGTTTACGACTGCGCTTTTACTCCGGCTACGATAGCGCACTCGGCGACTCCAAACACGATACCTGTAGTGTTTTATTTTCTTCAAACGTTGTTAAGCCAAGCCAGTAAGTGTTGTTGTGCACGCCAGAGACCATCTACACACACGTGCTCGAAAGATCAGTGCATTCACACTTTAGCGAGTTCAACAAACACGTGTTTTCACTCTTCTTCACGCTTGTGTGCAACGCCAGTTCTTCAAGGTCGGAAAGCTCAGCTTGTCGGTTGGGAATAATGATAAAAGACGACAGGGGTGCAAACTCGTGTGGTGCCCTGGCTTCTTTTTCGCGTCCATGTTTTCATGCATAGCTTACTTCAAGCTTATCGAAAACGTCTCGTATACACCGATTGAAAGTTACGCGAAAGGAGCGGGACCGAGCTCTATTTTTTCTGTTTGGCAAAATGTGGGTAAGTAGGATACGTAGAGCCGCCTATCCCAACATGAGAGCAATGTACAAAACAAACACACACAAAAATTTAAGCATAAAAGAAGAAAAACTACTCAGACCAAGCTATAGTCGCTTTTCTATAAGTCCTCAGTATAATAATAATAATAATAATAATAATAATAATAATAATAATAATAATAATAATAATAATAATAATAATAATAATAATAATAATAATAATAATAATAATAATAACGTAATCCTGCAGGCTTATGATTAGGTGCACGTTAAAGAGCCCCATGGGGCTCTTTAACGTGCACCTAAATTTACGTAAACGAGCGAAATTCACTTACACAAAAAAATTTCGACAAAGACTTCCTCTATCAGGAATAATTTGAAGGGTTCGTGAAAAAATGCCGAACCTAAATCTACGTAAACGAGCGAAATTCACTTACACAAAAAAAAATCTCGATTAAGACTTTCTTTTTCAGGAATAATTTGAAGGGCTCGCGAAAAAATGCCGAACCGCCGGCAGCCACGCGCACAAACTAGCTGACGTCAGCCTAAGTGAAGTGTATCTGCATGGATACTTAATGAGGTCAAGCGCATATGCATATCTGCACTGCTTAAACTGACGTCATCTGTAGTTAGTGCGGCTTTACTGCCGGTGGTTCTGCATTATCGCTTTAGGGGCGACCTTGATTAATTGATTGATATGTGGGGTTTAACGTCCCAAAACCACCATATGATTATGAGAGACGCCGTAGTGGAGGACTCCGGAAATTTTGACCACCTGGGGTTCTTTAACGTGCACCCAAATCTGAGCACACGGGCCTACGACATTTCCGCCTCCATCGGAAATGCAGCCGCCGCAGCCGGGATTTGAACCCGCAACCTGTGGGTCAGCAGCCAAGTACCTTAGCCACTAGACCACCGCGGCGGGGCTTAGGGGCGACCTTTTCACGACCAGTTTAATTATTTTTTCCCGTGATTTCTTTACTGTAAGTGAAATTCGCATGGACTGATGCTGGCCTTTGTGGTACAACATATCTTAAGTGTTCAGGAGATGTTTATCAGCGTGGGACAATACGAAGGAAATTTTTTCTTGCAGCAACTTTGTGTCCGGTAATTATACGATATTAAATCTTGATTGATTGATTGATTGATTTGTGGGGTTTAACGTCCCAAAACCACCATATGATTATGAGAGACGCCGTAGTGGAGGGTTCCGGAAATTTCGACCACCTGGGGTGTGCACCCAAGTCTGAGCACACGGGACTACAAAATTTCCGCCTCCATCGGAAATGCAGCCGCCGCAGGCGGGATTCAATCCCGCTACCTGCGGGTCAGCAGCCGAGTACCTTAGCCACTAGACCACCGCGGTGGGGCGATATTAAATCTGGCACTTGGCGTGGTCTTCTATAAGGCTTCCCGTCTCCCTGAAACGGTTTTGACGATTTCGTACAAACACGTTCGAATGGTAGACTAAGTCTAACGGGTCATTTACAAACCAATTTGAGTTCTCTGCGTAAACTATGTAATTTATTACGACGCTTTAAAGCTCCGAATCGCTGCGACTCGGCCAAACGCGTTTACAACTGCCTCCTTCACAGAGCGACAAGCTTTGCCCACGGCCGGACTAAAGGAGCGGCACACGCGCTCCTCCAGTCCGGTGGTGCTTTGCCCCAGTGACGTCACCAAGGCTGTTGACCTGATTGGCTGTGGAGCGCGCGGCACGGGCCCAGCGAAGGCTGAGCTTTGCCCCGAGCACTCGAAGGAAGAGTTGAGGTGGTTGAGGGTGGAGCGGAGGAGGAGGGCACCTATTTATTACTCGAAGCTCCGTTAATAAGGGGTGTTTAGAGTAAATCGCGGTGCCAATCATTTGCTCTAGTAGTGGTCTAATCAAAAACAGAATGTGAAAGAAAAATACATTTCAGACACCCTTTAAGTTCTTTCTCATCTCCAAACCCTCCCGACAGGCGCATGTTCCCGGTGATGCGAGTCAAGGTGACAGGCGGCGAAATCCAGCCGAGAATGACCATATAATTGCTATCGCAATAAAACGGAATGTGAAAAAAACTGTTTCAGGGACCCTTTAGATTATTTCTCATCCCTAAACCCTCCCGACAGGCGCATGTTCCCGGTGATGCGAGTCAAGGTGTCAGGCATGGAGCCCACTTCGTACTACATGATGCTGATGACCTTCGTGGCGCGGGACCACTACCGCTACCGCTTTCTCAGCAACTGCTGGCTGCCCGTCGAAACGGCCACGGACCCTCCGGCCGGCGAAAGCAATATGTACCTCCACGAGAGCGGGCCCTGCCTTGGTGCCAAGTGGATGCTGGCGCCCGTGGACTTCGGCGCCGTCAAGCTGACCAACCAGAAGAGCAACTCCTCTCAGAAGGTGAGCGACCCACTCATGCAGTTCTGAGATCGCAAAAAGCGGTCGATATCGGCGGGGAAGGTGTCCGTAACAGTATTAGCGTCTTTAACTGGGCTGGTTGATACACACTGATTTTGAATGAAGAAACAGCGCTGAAACAGGGTGGGTTTGTATCATCTCATCTGATCATGATGATGAAGATGACCTATGGATGGCATTCACTCCAAAAAGGGGGATGTATGTACCAAGAACCGAGTGGCAGGATGCCCAAAGTAAAGGTCTGTAAAACAAAAACCAAGCTGAAAAATTTAGTTTAAAATTAAATCAGCCTTACGTATACTGTTCCTAGCGCTGCTCTGTCCTTCTTATTCTTTCTTTCATTATCCAATACTGCGGACCTTATAGAGGTCCAAGCAAGGTGGGAGCAAGAACAAGAAACAAACAAAGCAAACGTGATGTCGTTAAAAACAAGCATAAACAGTTTAAAGCTCGTAACAGCTATGGCGCACAATGAGAAAATGCCCAAGATCGGACATGATTCGAACCCGGACCCGCTGGGAGGTAGTCGAGTATTTCCATCACAGAACCATACCGGTGCTTGAAACTTCTTCGCGAAATGACCCTATACAGGCGCTATACGTCGGGCAAGGAATCAAGTTAACAGATCTGATACAGTCACGGTGGTAGACGAGTGAAATAACAAACAGGTGGCACACAGCGTGAATTTGCCCCGCCGCGGTAGTCTAGTGGCTAAGGTACTCGGCTGCTGACCCGCAGGTCGCGGGTTCGATTCCCGGCTGCGGCGGCTGCATTTCCGATGGAGGCGGAAATGTTGTAGGCCCGTGTGCTCAGATTTGGGCGCACGTTAAAGAACCCCAGGTGGTCAAAATTTCTGGAGCCCTCCACTACGGCGTCTCTCATAATCATATGGTGGTTTTGGGACGTTAAACCCCACAAATCAATCAATCACAGCGTGAATCGGGCAACTAGTGGAAGTTTTACAGCCTGTCATACATTTCGAAGGGCTCAACGTAATTCACCATTGTCATCACATCAGCAAAGTGTACATATCCTTTATGGATATGTAGGGGGAGTGCCTCGCTGATTATCAGCAGAAGGACGGATAATGACGCGGTGCTACGTGTCTTTGCAAAATTATGGCGACTTATGGAGTATAGTAAGTGCCTTTTGTGATCGTGCCTGCCCTAGTCCCCCCCAAGACAGCTTAAAAGTGCCCTTGAAATGCCGCACCTCCAGCATTTGCTGCGATTGTGCTGCATGTTTCGTGCAGGCCTGGCAATTTTTTTTCACGAGCACGTTTGCGCACGCGTGTGCACACATATTTGCCAGAATGTGTCCGCAACAACGTCACGAGATGTGGGACATTGCGAGGCCATTTCGAAGGAAAGTGAGTGACGTCATGCTGTCGTTTCGCAGGTGATGCTGCAGTCGATGCGCAAGTACGTTCCCTACATTCACGTGTTCGCCGGAAGTGACGTGCAGCAGCTCGATTTCCGACGCTTCAAGACGTTCATGTTTCCGGAGACCGAATTCATCTCGGTCACCTCGTACCAGAACGATCAGGTGGGTATGCACACGCCTATATATACAGCTGCCCGAAAACGCTCGAGCGGTGACATTGCTGTGCGCTGACTAAGGTTGCACAGCGGGCTTGTTGGTTATTCATGTTGTTCGAGGTATAGCGCATCCAGGACGGGACAGAGAAGAAGACACAGAACACATACACGGCGATATGTGTGTGTTCTGTGTCTTCTTCTCTGTCCCGTCCTGGATGCGCTATACTTCGAACAACATGTGCGTTGACGCCGTATGACGGAGCGAGGTTGCAGGACTTGTGACGAGTCCCGTCAAACCTTGCACGCACGTCAAGAAGGCGTACATAAGCGTGGCACATCTAGGGCTCGCAGGCTTCGTAACGTCGATTTTTCTTAAAATAAATTTTGGTACACCAGGCTGGCTTCGCCCGAATATCCACCTCCGATTCATCGGGTATTAGATGAATAACACCTGAAATACCGTATCGGTCACTAAAAGCACGCTAATTGTCAAATGAAGTATTATTACCACGTGTGTCTCCAGCATTGTTTTCTTGCCCCGCCGTGGTGGTCTAGTGGCTAAGGTACTCGGCTACTGACCCGCAGGTCGCGGGATCGAATCCCGGCTGCGGCGGCTGCATTTCGATGGAGCCGAAAATGCAGCTGTACTCAGGTTTGGGTGCACGTTTAGTGTAGCGAAACGTGATGGAAAAATCTTCTTCAATGTAGAACCTTCGTACATGAATACTGACGTGCATTTTACGCATGACGACTCGCGCAACGTCGCTAGATTATAGGTTGCAATATTGAACATTTTTTTTGAAAACTGCCTGAAGGCAGTTTCGCTGCTGCTGCTGCTGATGATGATGATATTATTTTTTCTGATGGCGCTCACCTACAAAGGGGGATGGACCAAGAATCGGTCGGCAGTATCATTGAGTTAAATACCTATGAAGCTAAAAGCAAACACTGTAACATTATACTATAAACGGAAGCGTAGCTAATAAATGAAAATTTTACAGAGCAAACAGTCAGGCTATCAGATGGCATGTCTGACGAATTTAACATCGGGTTGCAACTAATAATAGAAATAAGCAAATGGACACTTGTCGCCGAAGGAGTTTTCTTTTCTTTTCCTAATGAACAGCGCTGGACGCCGTACTCCCGTTTCTCCATGCAAACAAGTAAGCGCATTGCCGACAATTCTAGAGGGCGCCTCTTTGAATTCGAAAAGAAGCAGTAATTAATCCCTGGCACGAATAAAAGCTCCCTAAAGAGCATAAGGTACAATATTAAGTTACCACGAGTAACCAATAAGCTGAACCACATCGCTGTTGGGTGATTACATTTTATACTTTCACAGCCAAATTAAAAAAAACAATTAATATTTATACTGACCACAACGCAAACATTCCACTCTCAAATAAATTTTATAGAAAAAAAAAGCATATTCGTTACCACTGACGTGACGAACAATCTTCTCATCCTCACCACAATGAAAAAAGAATTCTGAGCGTTGAGAGAACTTTTTAAAAATTGCTGCTTGTGCTAGGTGTGTTGAAATTAAGTCAGTGGATAAATACAACGCTGAAAGCATTTCTGTTCACAGGGCCCACTGATAATAAATACAGTGACAACAAAACATGCCCCGAACTACAGTGGCGATCTGCGTATCAGTTTACAATGAGCACATGTTAAAGAAATATGGTGCAATTTGATACAAAGGCACTGTTGTCCTTCACTAGTAGGGGTGCATTACACCTAAGAGACCTCTAACATGTATGGCGCTGTTGTCAGAATACGGAACTATTTGCCCTTCATAATCGTCGATTCTCTTTTTCTTTTCAGATAATTGCGTTGAAAATACAGAACAATCCATATGCCAGGTCATTCTGCAGCAACACAGACAGGAGGTAATAAGAATTATGTTCTTTCAGCTGAGGACATACTGATGATCGTTTAATCATTTGTTCTCAGAATCAACGCGACAGCCTTCTTAAACAGTGAAATGCCGCGCAGACAAATTATTAACGTGGTAGTGCTTAAAAAGCTCGTTTCGCAAAAGTTTGGTGTTGGCGTCGAAAAAATCATTTGTCCATGACCAGATAAATAAAGATCTCAATAATAAAAAAATAATAAAGACGCCCATAAAACAAATGATACAAATTTTCGGTTCAAGTGAGTGTCAAACCTAGGCCGTCTGCCTGGCAAGTGCGTATTCTATTACAGAGCTACGATAGTGATTGAAAGTGATTCTAAAAAAACACACACAAAAAACCCGCTATGTAGATGTGATTCTGATTTTGTGGCAGTAGTCTGCTTAACGCATGTGTTATATCGTAGCGGAATCATAGAAACGCGTCAGGCGTCAAAACGTCTGAATTGCGCAAGGACTCGTTGCTTTGACTAGGCCCACCCATTACAAAGCGTTCGGACATCATCAGCTGCAAAAGCACCAACGAATTGAGCAGCTACAAAGGTTCGCGTGTTTCCTTTCGAACGCATAGTGGGCCATTCGCTAATTCGCAAAAGGAATAATTATGGCGTAGAGAGCATTTGACAACCTTGCTTGCAATAGGCATGCAGTGATTCTTTGAAACGACTGATATTACGCGCCCAGTAGTTCGTTTCCTAACATCACGGTTGAGGAATGCACCGAGAACCAAAGCTAAGTCAGTACTTGTGAAGGCAATGAGCATGATCACGCTATCGCGTTCTACGCTTGAAGGCGAAGCTTAAGCGCCCTCCAATAAAAAAAAATGTTATGATAGTCATATGGGCGCTCTTAGGCAGTTGAGAAGCAGACAAGTCTTGAAAACACAAACGAAAAGCATTAAAAAATTGAATAGCATTGGAACATCGATATTGCCCTTACCTTGCACAGTCTAAAAAAAAAAACGAGTCAATTTACACTTTTTTTTTGTGCCCTGACTTGCCACGTACATGACTAAGAGACGCTTGAACTCTCTTTTAAGATTATACTCTCAAAGGGTAGTCTTCAAACCCACGAGGTGTGTTGACGCGTCTTTAAAGGCAGTCATATAGGTGACGAGTCATACTCATAGAAAAAAGGGAACGAATACTTTTTTTTTCTGCATCGAATGCATAAGCGATTCAGAAGACATCGATTTCCTACAGCAATGCAATACAAATATGCTCTAAGTGCTCATTGTGTCAGTTAAGATACTGTGCGTAGAAAGCGGACGTAGTGAGTGATTCAGTATGCGTACCTAATTACGATCCATTCATTCGCTTATTGTTTATTTGAACTTTCTAGAAATGCTATCAGGCGTCTGACGGATGAAGAATTGGGGTCTGGCGATGACACGGCTGGTACGTACTTCTTTATTTTTTCCCGCTTTGTTGCGAATGAAAATTTATGTGTGGAGCTGGGAAATCTCCTTGAAATGTGCTGCAGTTGCCAGAGAACGCACAATTCAGAAAGTTATCAAATCTTCGCTTGATCAAGCGCGCGAGCAAGTAATGGAGATCTCCGTTTACAGAGCTTTCCCGCAGCATTAAGCTTAATGCAAGAAAGCACGCTTTACAAAAGAAGGGACAGGAGAGGGATTCTTTGTGTCTAGCCATTATAATAAATGTATCGTAAACAAATATTTCACTGCTGAATGAGCCCCCCATAAATCGCCGAATATAAACCTCGCCCACATTCAGCGACCATTGCTTAGCCGTACCGTGTATGACGTCACGCACCGCATGTAACGAAGCGATCGTCTTCTGCCCAATTCCAGCCGCTGCAAATAGTTCACATTCAATACCAAGCTGAACAAAGTTGAAATATATCAAATGCACGCAACGCTGACTATGAAACAATATAGTTTGTTAAAATGCAGCCGCTCGCACAGCAAGCAGGCTTGTTACGTCACGAATCGCTAGTGCGTCAGGGTTACCCAACTCGCAGACCGCTCGCATTGTTGCTCGACGAAATGTCCATTTTTATTGTGAACGCACAAGGGTAAAACAACATCAATTATAATTGAAAATTGGATGTCACTGGCTTTTATAATACGGTATGAAACATATTATCGGAGTAACCAAACTCAATCTTTCTGTTTCTTTCATCGCTCCATGCAGGTCACAGCTGGCATCGCACTGCAGTTGGATCCCGCCTTCGAAAATCCTTTTCGTGCCCCGACCACAACCAGTACCACGCCCGCCACCTGTACTGGCACTGCCACGCCAATCCAGCCTCCCTGCCAAGCTTCGGCCCGACTCTATCGAATGGCTCCGTCGCGAACACGCTTCCGCATTCGCAGTCTCCGTACGCAAGGTGCGCCCCGTCCGAGCCCCTGTTCAGTTCGCTCGCTCCCTACGCCACCCCACTGGACCTCTACTCGTCTCTCTACAGCGTGGCCCCACCGGCGCGTTACACCAGTAACCTCGCTGCCGGAATGGGCGACTCGTTGAGTTTCTACTTCCAGCCGCACTTACTGAGCCCAGCAACGGCACCCGCACCTTACATTTTGTCGAGGTTCGTCGGTGGCAGTCAGTGCGCGAGATCCGCAGTGTCTACGCCGTCTGTCGCGTCACTGTCGTCTGCTCTCTCGGCGTCGTCTGCAATGCCGTGCGCGACGACTTTGGCGTCGGCGCTGGAAACAGTGTCGCACGCGGCGCCAATCGCATCCCGCTTGCCAATCCCATTCGGCGCCACGACAGCGTCTGAGCACGCGCGCCATAATGCGACACTATGAGCTGTCTTAGCAGTATCCGTCAGTATGTAGCCATGTTCGAGTCATGGGTACGTGGTATTAGTACCTGTCGAAGGAAGAAAGAGAGTGCATGTAACTAATTCACACCCTCCAACTTTTCTCATGAGAATGTGCCATCGTCGAGCGCCGTAGGAAGGAACACAGTTGCGAAACGAGCGAATATGCGTGCCTTTAACAGTACGGTGCAGCTTTCCTCTGCCATGCTGTTATGCCATACGAATCCAACCCCACCCGCTTTTATTGTCCTGCTGTTGGCTTGCAGCGCCAGGTTATCTTTTCTGCCTAAAAAAAAAGTACCACGTAAACTACAGAAAAACGAGAATGCTGACACGCACACTGTATGATCACACCCCCCCACACAGCGAAAGGATGAGCTAGTTTCATGGCAGCGTTCAGAAAAAAGAAAGAAAAAAGAACTGACGATACCTATGAATAGATTTTTAAACCACACTTTCAAAAGCACATTTGAATATTAAAATAACACCGTTTCTGAAATAAGTTACTGTCCGTTTCACGGCCGCTCCTTCATTGTGGGTTGCACCAAGTCGCTAAAGACCAACCAACCAACCAACTGCGCCCCCCCCCCCCCCCAAAAAATAAAGCGGAGATGGTGTCTGGTCTCCCCAACAGCCTAACAGAAAAATGCACAGGTCTGCGCCTCACCCGCATGCGCGTATTGTAGTTCGTTTCAACGCTAGGCTCTGGTTATGCGGCACTTGTCGACTCGGTGGTCGGAAAGTCCAGGTTGAAAAAAAAAAAGGGGGGGGGGGGGTCACTGTACATACGAGCAAGACGTCACATGTGCCTTGCTGCAAAATACTAGGAGGGAAAGAATAGATTTTTTTTAAAGGATTTACCAAGTAGTGCCAATACCAGCATATGTACGTACAAATGCTAGTTACGACTTGTAAATATATTTATATACGACGCTTTGCTTCGTCATTTTCGCTTTCTGAGAGGCCTTGTTATTTCTGACAGCTTGTCGTACCGGGGTTTCAACAGTGTGTGTTTATATGTGCTCGCATAATCTGTTCTGTAGTAACTTTCTGATGACATGATGTGCCTACATGTTAGAGAGAGTTGAGACTAATTGTCAAAGCAACGTTTGTTCATGTTTCTCGTTTCGTACACAAGCACTAGAAAATACACGCTTGCTTTAAAGGTTACGCTAAACAAAAAAAAAACGAAGTGTTTATTTCATGGAGCGTAATCACACATTTTGTTAGGTGCAATAGATGTTAGGTGCAACGTACTCGTGCGCGAGCACTTATGAGACCGAATGTTTGTGTATATAGACGTTGCATTAATCAAGACAATGTACCGAATATACGTATTTTACCCCTTATTACTTCGCGGCAAGTGTAGCTTTCATTTCCTTGTGACTACGTATTCTTGTTGAATATGACGAAGTTGCGGTCACTAACCAAGTAACAGTAAAAAAACAAAAATTAAAACAGAAACCGTCCAGTGACAATTGTCACGCTCTGTGAGCAAAGTCCTTTGAGCACTGACATACCTGATCAATATTTATATTATATACGCTACGGTATTCACACGCATGTGGTGTTTCGACTGCCACGCAGAATGCTTGGGTTTGATTCCTGCCGAGAGCCAGACATTTACTCTTGGCAATCGCCAGGCCAACGCTTCCGATGTCAGCTTTTCTCTCAACGCCCACGCCGTAAAATTACCCGAGTATGCTCTCACTGTTTCCGGATAGATCAATCACCTGCAGCGCATACCCACCCGCGGGTATGTGCCTCCCATCTGGCGCAAAGGGTTTCACGACGTAGCCCCGCCACGGTGGTCTAGTGGCTAAGGTACTCGGCTGCTGACCCGCAGGTCGCGGGATCGAATCCCGGCTGTGGCGGCTGTATTTCCGATGGAGGTGGAAATGTTGTAGGCTCGTGTACTCAGATTTGGGTGCACGTTAAAGAACCCCAGCCGGTCGAAATTTCCGGAGCCTTCCACTACAGCGTCTCTCATAATCATATGGTGGTTTTGGGACGTTAAACCCCACAAATCAATCAATCAATCACGACGTACGCAACGGGATTGTGACATTATTCATGTCATGACCAGGGAGTCATATTTGTCAAACCATCCGGTGATCATGAGAGCATTCGGACGTAGGCGGCTGGATAGATGGATAGATACTGATAGTGTGTGCAGTACGCAGAAAAATGGTTCGCATTTAAAAATGGTACACACTTTAGGGACAAGACATCGTTATCGCGTACAACGTAAGAGCACCCCCTTTTTGGGGCTTTAGACACTAACAATAATTAACAGCTCATGTCTTTACCCAACTTGGTTAGTGATCGCAACCTCTCCTTTGACATGTTACCTGACCAGGCGAACTTTCGTTGGACTCGTGACTACCTTCATGCCATATACGTACAAAGTTTATATACCATGTTGACTTCACCCAAATAAATTATTTTTCTAAACGTATGCGTACATGACTTGGAATCATTCGTTGCATGTATTTCACCAGCGCCGCCTCGGCGCTTCACAATATTAGGTGGTTTAAGAGTAGCGTACGCAAGGATAGCGTGTGTTGCGTACGCCCCCTATTTGTCACTCTAGTGACACGCAACAGAATAGTGTAAGACGAGCGCGCAGCGACGGGAAACGCCGACTCAAAGCTTAAATTGCCTACTGTTCATCGCCGTTCAGTATACTGCACAGGATAGCGGCGCCATGAGCGCGTTGGTTTTGAGTTTCAAATGCACGTGACACATGCCGTCTTTCTTCTTGAACACGCTCTTCGGGGCCAATTTCTGCAATGAAGTAGCATCGCCAAGTTAGCTAAGTTGCAGGACGGTTAAGCGTGTTAGTCTGTTGCAGAAAAGAGACCGCCGGGCTGTAGCATAAAGTGCAGTCGTGATCGTGTCAATGGAGTATGCCAACAGCGGATGTAACAGTGCGAAAACAACGAAGTCTTCTCAATGGCCAATTCCCCAGAGGGGGGAATGTGCTATGGTATCCAGACTACGATCAAACAAACAAACCAACACCAGCGCGCAGGAGCAACTGCTCATTAGATGCGTTGATCTCGAATTCGAGTTTCATACCAGGCCTAATTCCTCACTCGAGAACTTGCTGTTGGGCTAGTTCGTAATATATTCTCTTGAAAATTAGGCCTTTATGCTCCCCCATTCGCGCACACAATTACACACGCACGCGCTCAGCACTATTTGCGTGGTGTGGTCATGAGCGTGCGCATGTGTGAATAAAGGAGTGCCTAGTCGCATAATTTTCGAGCTAATCCTTATATATACAACCAACTGGGAACCTTTACTTTTGTGACAACGTTATTAATTCGTACGGCAATGCCCCGCCGCGGTGGTCTAGTGGCTAAGGTACTCGGCTGCTGACCCGCAGGTCGCGGGTTCGTATACCGGCTGCGGCGGCTGCATTTCCGATGGAGGCGGAAATGTCGCAGACCTGTGTGCTCGTGTTCTCAGATTTGGGTGCACGTTAAAGAACCCCAGGTGGTCGAAATTTCCGGAGCCCTCCACTACGGCGTCTCTCGTAATCATATGGTGGTTTTGGGACGTTAAACCCCACAAATCAATCAATTCGTGTGACAAAAAAGCGCAGCTGACAACGTTTCCATTTATTTACTTTAGTTTACTTGCAGGCATCAGTATAACTCATTTGAGGTAGGTTTTACTTTTAAGCGTGGACAAAGCTACATTCAGAACGCTTATACTATATCGTTCATTCATTCGTAATGCTTGCAGTTGTAAGGCATATGCTGATATCGCACTCATAATTTATTAACTTTTTTTTTGTGTCCGTTCCATGTGTCCGTTGCGTCGCCTAATGACGACGCAACGGACACATGGATATAAAATAAAACGTACTATAGTCGTTAGTGCATAACTCACTGAAGGTGTCTCCCTTTCACGATCTTTACAGGTCAACGTGTAAGGATACACAGTTTGCGGAATTGGTTAACCTCGATGAAAAAGAGCGCGAAAAACGTGGGTACGTGACGAGCAGAGCTACAGGACAAGTGCATTCTTGTATGTACCTGCTCTGTAATTTTCTTTGTCTTGTCTCACGCTTTTGGCGCTGATTTTGATCAGCACAAAGTATACGCTAATCGAAATGCACAGTGATCAGCGGCACTTTCAGAACTTTTTTGCAGAGGTGCATTATCAGAGGAGAGGGGAGCGGCATCCATCATAGGCAGCCTTTCTTTCACTTCCGTGTCATGACTGGCCAGATTAGTCCCTAATGTGTAGAGCTGCAGCTGGCAATACTGAAGACCATTTCACACAAATATGAGGAACCCGAGTGTGCTAATCAAAGTGTGTAGCTTATTGCGGCTGCCCCCCCCCCCCCCTCAGCACTAGCAATACCCTCTAGGTGCCCACGACAGTGGTGCGTTAGGTCCGTGTGAAAAAAGCACGACCACCGCATTCCTCTTTTTCTTTCAAACTTCCGTAATCCATCCTTATTTTATAGAGGTCTAGCACTTTGAGGATACCCTTGCCTTGGACGCTCACTAAACATTTTCAACGTGAGCCCCTTTAAGTAGCCAACAATTGAAACACACACAGCATTTCGTTCGCACACACTTGTAATTACATAGCCGATTCTCATTGTTTCGCCCGCGAGACACAGAGGGAATCTCGAAGAACTCGTGTCTGGGATTCGTGGCAGCGACAACTCGCAGCGTATGCCGCATGACACTGTCGATTGCAAGCGTCGGGCGTCGCTGAAAGGACGCTCGCGGTCATATTAACGTTAAGGTTGATTATATGCGTTAGGATCGCGGAGGAAAGTCGTCGATTGAAGTCGGAACGCGTATTACGCGTCACTCGCGTCCGAACTGTGAGAAATGAGAACAGCGCCAAGGCCCGACTGTTTCCCCTCTTCCTCTTCATTCCGGAGGGGTCTGAGCAGCCAACAGGCCGGCCCTGTCTGCAGCGTTGACCGT